CCTGTGTCTTCCATTTCTCATTACTTTCTGTTTAACCTTGCCAGCAAGTGTTTAGGATGTAGTGTGGGACAAGACGGTGTGGTTTCCAATGTAAACGCCTATTGACTTTTCTCAATACTTTTAAGATTTGTGATCAGAGACCAGGCCCTAATAAAAAAAAAATGAGGTGTTGCCTGACTCTGTAGTATAATCAATTTAGTTTAGTGAGCAACTTGAGACAGGAAAAGATCCAAATCCCTTGACAGTCAGGAAATATGTAGGTTGTACTCTGGAGCCTCAGAAAATGTCACTGGAGGAGTTGTCTGTGGTCTCCAGATAAAGATGAGGTCATCTTACAATAAGATCCTGCAGGGACTTCACCCTGGACATAGCTCTATAAAACCTCAACTCAAAATTAATTCTACTGGAAGTAAGACGTGTCCGACTTCTAGTGCAGAATGCATTTTCCTAGCCACTGATGGTTGAACTCTGAATGATAAAATGAGAGCACAGGAGAGATTCACTTACGTTCTCCAAACACAGTAAGAGGGCATCATGACTGCCTCCTCTGAAGCACCTTGCTTTTTAACTTACTTTTTTTCTTATTAGATTTTTCTTTTCCTGTTTTTTTTTTAAGTTTGATCACTCTCTCTCTCTCTTTTTTAAAAAAATTGGAATATAATTACTTCACCCCAGTGTTCATCACAGCACTGTTTAAGTGCGCAATGACAGATGAATGAATAACGAAGATGTGGTATATATACCCAATGGAGTATTACTCATTCACTAAAAGGAATAAAATAGAGTCATTCGTAGAGACATAGATGGACTTAGAGTCTGTCATATAGAGTGAAGTAAGTTAGAAAGAGAAAAACAAGCATCATATAGTAACACATTATATGTTAAATCTCATCAGCTTTTTCACTTGTAGGTAAAGAAGTCGAATGAAGCCTGTACAGGCTAATATGATGGAGCTTTCATAATTGAGGACTGTACGTACACACCTACTATATACCTCCTATTGTGCTATTCACTTTCCCATTGCTAGAAAATGCTTATGATAGCAATAACAACAATTCCTACTGTGGGCCATTGTTGCTTTGTGTCCATTTGTTATTCATTCCTTAAAACAACCCCACAAGTTTCAGGCTAATCTTATCGCTTCCTCTTTTACAGATAAAGCAACTGACATGCAGTTAGTTTAATTGACCCAAGGCCACAGGCCACTATGAATCCATTCTAGGACATTAAACAGAATATTATAGTTTCCCCACCTCTCAGTTGTGAGCTATTTCCATTAACTTCATTATGTTACTACCTTGATTTTGATTGTTAGACATACTTTTTGCTGCAAGCAAGTGATTCTTGCTGTTTTCATTGTGATTTTACACTTCAGAGCCAATTTTTCACTGGTGCAAATTCGATAAAAAGATTACAACCATTTCAATGGAATCCTATAATGTTCTCAAATTTGTCTTCATCCTACAGTGATCTGTTAAATATCTGAACTGATGCGAACATGTGTAGCGATTCCCTCTTACAGCCTTAGTGCCTTACTGCTTATTGAATTTTCCCGTCTTGGTCCTTTGGGGCCAGATTGTAAAAGAGCATCCACGGCCATCCCACAATGAGAGCCAAAGCCCTGACGGCATGCCGAGCCCTGTGAGCATGCAGTGCTGGCCTGCCCCGTCTCCTCTGCTGGAGTGCTCCTTCGTGAGTGATGCAATCTGAAACAAATTCCCTCATAGTGAAAGACCTAGAGAATCTCAGTGGAGAGCAACAAAAATGATGAAATGTTTTAAAAATAAGGCCCTTGAGGAGGAGGTAAGAGAACTGAACATGTTCAACCTTGTGTCAAGAAGACTCAGGGGAGAAATAACTCTATAAATATGCGTGCCGATATAGTGGACAGGGTGAAAGGCAGTTTTCCTCATGGTAAAGGAGGGCAAAGGAAATAGAAAGCGGGCTAAATTATAGTCAGGGAAGTTAGCTTAAAATATGATATTAATACATATAGAGGTAACACTGAAAATTCTGTTTCTTTCCCTTACTACTAAGGTGGTTACCTGGGAAACACACTTACTCTGTGTACACACACACAAATATATACACATACACACACTTCTCTATTACATTGATTGATGGTGGCAAATAGAGTGATGGGGGCCTGGACTGAGAGGAAGAAGATTCTTGTATGAATGGACAAGTAGGGTCTTGCTTTGGAGTAAGCCTGAAAGATTGGATCAGTTTCAACTAGTTTATAATTTCTATTTTATGTTCATAGCTCCATTTTCATCAATTTAAAAATTTATTGTTTCTGGCATAATAATAATAGTAAACATTTATTGAACACTTCTTAGTGCCAGGCCGTTGTGCTAATAAGTGCCTTACATGCATTTGTTCATTTACTTTTCACAATATTCCTGTAAGGTAGGAGTTATTATTACTGCCTTCTTCCTCACTCCCCCCACCACACCTCCAAAGCTGGGCATCGGTTTCCTCACCTGAAAAAAGTGTTTGATAGTCACAGTAAATCTGAGGGTGTTATAAGTACTGAGGGACTAGAAGTCAAATAAATGTGCTTTATGTTCCAAGATTCATGGAACAGTTTCCTAAAAGGTGAAGGGGCTCAAAATGCCCATAGAATCCCTCTTAAGAACATTTTTGCCCTAAATAAATGCTCAAATTCCTGAGAAGCACCCCAGCATATCTTCTGTGTGACATGAACGTGGACCATTCAGGCTCTCTTAACTTGAGTTAGTTGCTATAAATACTGAAGCACCCTATCCACTTGTAACAAGATCTCATCATAGCAGTCACTAAAATGTAAATGCAATTAGTTCAGTTCAGTTCAGTTGCTCAGTTGTGTCCGACTCTTCGTGACCCCATGGACCACAGCACACCAGGCCTCCCTGTCTGTCACTAACTCCCAGAGTTTACCCAAACTCATGTCCATTGAATCGGTGATGCCATCCAACCATTTCATCTTCTGTCGTCCCCTTTTCCTCCTGCCTTCAATCTTTCCCAGCATCAGGGTCTTTTCCAGTGAGTCAGCTGTTTGCATCAGGTGGCCAAAGTATTGGAGTTTCAGCTTCAACATCAGTCCTTCCAATGAACACCCAGGACTGATCTCCTTTAGGATGGACTGGTTGGATCTCCTTGCAGTGCAAGGGACTCTCAAGAGTCTTCTCCAACACCACAGTTCAAATACAATAGAAGGTGGTTATTGAAGCTGAAGTGGTCTGGGCTTTATCTATAGAGTCTAGTGGTTCTCAGACATGACAGATCTTAAGAATATCTTGGACAATGTTGAAGGATCCAGGCTTCTGGGCACCAGTTCCAGAAATTCTGATGCAGTTGCTCTGTGGTGGATAGATAGCCTAGGGATCTTTTCACTGTTATTATTCTACAAGTGATTCTGAGGATAGGACCCTGGAATCGCTGACCTGGCCCAACCTCCCCCTGTATAAATGTAAGCAGTTAAGGTTGCAGAGCCAAGCCCAGCACCCACATCTCCTTTTTTTCCCTTTCCCACCCCAAGGCTCTGTTCATTGCCCGATGCTGCTTCTGTGTGTTGGGTCTTCTTAAGGAAAAAACAGAGGAAGTAAACAAAAGGCGTCCTGAATTTCTGAGATGAGTTAATACTCATGCAATTTTCCCCACCATGGGCCTCCACTGTGCATCTAGATGCGAGGTCATTATCTTTTATGATGATTAGCGCATGTCCAAGATTGATCATAAGCAAGGCTGGAGTCCATAGCTACCCAGATGATTAGGAAAGCTTCTTAAATAAAATGATAGCTTTAGGTGGGTTTGTGATTGCCAGGGAGGGTTTAATTTTCTTGAAGGGCTGCAGACTATCAGGAAGGAGGGAGAGCGTCAAAGTCACCCTTTCGCAGAAACCAGCTGATGTCTCCATGAAAGAGGCCCAGAGGAAGTTCTTTCATTTTCCGCAGCATCCACTGAGCTCCTGAGTCGTCGAAGAGAGAACATGAACTGAACAGCTGACTGAGTCTGTTTGTACAAAGTGTGTGTGTGTGTATGTGTGCCTGTGTGTATGACAACTTTAAAAGCATCAATCTGGGGGCAAAGTCCCCCTTAGTTTAGAAATAAGGAAACAGAAGCACAGCAACACAGCAAGAGGCGGAAAGCCTGCTTAGGTCCGGGGGGAGCTGTGATGCCCTCTCTGCTGGCCGAATCTGAGCTCAGACCCTCAGCTCTTCCTGTCCACCCAGGAAGGTCACGTTGCTCCCGGGCAGGACAAAGCGGAAGCCCTCTCCACGGTCAGCATCCACGTGCTCATCTGGAGGTCTTCTTTCCAGCCTCGGGCTCACAACTCCAGATGCTGTTCAATTTCAGGCTTCAGTCCTTGCCTGAGTTTCATTGCTTTTGGAAGCTGCCCCACCTGACCACCTGCCTCACATGCCAGCTTCTAGATCTGCGGGGGTTCTTTGCTCCCCGGAGTCTGCAGGTGGGGCCGGGCCCCTCAGGGCTTTACCTGCGGCTTTCAGCCTGACCTCAGCCTCAGCGTCAGGGTTCCGGAGTGGCTCCTAGTAACCCACATCCGCTCTTAGCCTCGGATTTAGAGCCAGTCTTCAGCTAGGCCCTCTCTGGAGTACCTTGTTTTTATGGAACAGAGGGCGTGAGCCGTGGGAGATTTGGTGGGAAGTTTGCTTAGGATGGCTGTGCGCCCTGCCCGGGGTGAGTCAGAGCTGCTGTTCCAAGCCTCTGAGCACAGACTTCCCCGGCTTTACTTTGTGTGATCGCTGTGCGGTGTTCCTGGCCTCTGGACGGGGAAGGCATCACAGCCGGCCTGACAAAGGGGCTCGCCTGGTGCCTCTTGAGTCTCAAAGACCCCAGGCTTGAGGTCAGCCACAAAGGAGCGGACTGGCTTGGCTCTTCAAGAGTCGGGGGCTGAAGGGACATAGAAGGTTAAAAAGGAGAAAGGCTCACCCTGGGGACTGAGCATTATAACCAGGGAAGAGAGGGTTGACATGAAGCCCAGTTGGGTTTGGAGGATCTCAGCAGGGAGAGAAGGCCCGGAATCCAGAGTCTGCATCCAGGGTGGAGGTCCGGGGGGCGTGAGGCCCCAGGACATAGCCGGCTGCACCGACGGCCAGTAGGTGGTCCTGCGGCAGCCTCACTGCCCTGGGCCTCCTCCCTCCGCAGAGCACGCGTCCACAGAGGCACCGCCCTGCCCCGGAAAGCAGGCTCTCAGACACAGAGGGCGCCGGGCTCTCAGAGGCTGTCTGATCCCAGAGCAGTGGAGGGGCCGTGGGGTCCGCCACCTTGGAGAGGATCAGGGCAACTGAGAGAGCAAGCCCAGAGCGGCCTCGCCTCGGGAGCAGGGGCCCGCGCCACGCTGGGCGGTGCAGGGGGACACGTGCAGACCGAAAGCGGGAGGCCTGCCGGGGACAGGGACATGTCCCGATGCCAGGATGGGCAGGCCCCAGGTGAGGTCCAGGCTGCCATTTCTAGAACCTGCCAACAGCCTTAGCTGGCGCAAACCACCTGGACACAGTCCTCGGGAAGGAGGGGAAGGGCGGAGCGGGGCCACGGGATAAGTCAGATTTCTCATCACAGAAGGGATGTGTGCTGAGGCACTCAGTCATGTCTGACTCTTGGTGACTCCACGGACTATACAGTCCACGGCATTCTCCAGGCAGGGATACTGGAGCGGTAGGCAGCCTTTCCCTTCTCCAGGAGATCTTCCCAACTCAGGGATGGAACCCAGGTCTCTCACATTGCAGGCAGATTCTTTACTCTCTGAGCCACCAGAGGAGTCCCAAAGAAATGAAGATGATTCACAAAAGTTACAGTTTTGCTTTTTTAGTTTTTTGCCAACACAAGAGTCTGAGCGGAGAAACTGTGCCCTTTCGCAGTTCCTGGCCCATCTGCTCCACACGTCATACTCCCTAGAGTGCCTCCCTGGCTTCCTGGGCCCGGGAAACACGGAGACAGGTTCTCCTGGATCCTTATCCAGCCCCTTCCTTTCCTCCCACTCCTCTTTCGAGTGCTCGCACGGAAGATCGCTGCCTCTGACATCCCCACAGCCTCTGTTCGAGAGCTGCTATGACTTAATCTCTGCAAGATTAGCTTTGTTATTATCACCGCGGCTTATCTGGTGTGCTCACAGCACGTGACAGCTTGCTGAAAGGGACGTCTATTAGGAGATGCTTGTTCTAACAGTAGGGCGAGAGAGCGATAAGGCGACTGCTTTATCACTGTCCGTACAGACGAGCAGTTTTGAGTTTGACTGATAGGTTTGTAAACAAGAAAGTACCGTGGCTGGATTCCCAGGCTTCCAAGGCAATGACACACATCACGCTGTGCTGTCAGTTTCACTAATTTAGTTAAATTCATTGATACGAATGAATGAATGAATGAATGGTTCAAGGCTTGTGGAAGACTCACTAGGTGCCAGGTTCTACATTAGATGCAAGAGATACAGACGTGAATTATACTATGTGTGCATTCTAGGCACTTATGTTCTGATTGGAAAAGAGACCTAAAGAGGCAGAAACATTTATTTAAAAACTACTGAGTAGTTTTGTGTGCCAGGCTCTATGGCAAACATCCAGGGAGAAAGCATGTGGTGTTGGGCCCCCAGGAATACTCAGCGTTCCACTGAGGGTGATTCCCAGGGCTGAGAGGGGAATTCCCAGGGCTCACCCAATGCACTTCAATGCTTATTCTAGGATACTAGTGCTCTGTGTGGGTAACATAAAATGTATCTCACGGAACATCTGCATAACAATGGATCAATAAACAGAAATTTTCCTGAAACAGCTTTTCAGAGTATTTCTATTTTTGGATTCTGATTGTGTCTATTTCTCTCTGAATTAACCATGTTGTTGCTGTTCAGTCCCTAAGTCATGTCCGACTCTCTGCAACCCTGAGGACTGCAGCGCCCCAGGCTTCCCTGTCCTTCACTGTCTCCTAGAGTTTGCTCAAACTCATGTCCTTTCAGTTAGTGATACCATCCACCTCCCTCATCGTCTGTCATTCCCTTCTCTTTTTGCCTCTAATCTTTCCCAGCATCAGGGTCTTTTCCAATGAGTAGGCCCTTTGCGTCAGGTGGCCAAAGTATTGGAGCTTCGCTTCAGCAGCAGCCCTTCCAATGAATATTCAGGATTTATTTCCTTTAGGATTGGCTGCTTTGATCTCTTTGCTGTCCAAAGGACTTTCAAGAGTTCTCTCAACACCACAGTTCAAAAGCATCAATTCTTTGGTGCTCAGCTTTCTTTATGGTCCAAGTCTACCATAGCTTTGACTATATGGATCTTTGTCGGCAAAGTGATGTCTCTGCTTTTTAACATGCTGTCTAGGTTTGTGATAGCTTTTCTTCCAAGGAGAAGACATCTTTTAATTTCTTGGCTGCAGATTTAACCATAAGAGTGTGCAATACAGGGACCTAATAGTTTTCTTCCTTTGGTAGCTTTTAATCTCTCCTCTAAAAAGGTATTAATAATTGCTATCATTTTTTAACACTTAACATGTCCATATTCTGAATGTGGTGCCTTTCTTATCTTATTTAATAATAAGATAAACTTTGTAAAAAAACTGATGAGTTAGGAATTATTATTTCAAGAAAATGTTTCTTGGAGAGGTAAACTTGCCCAAGGTAATAGATTCTTTGCAACCCCATGGACTGTAGCCCCCTAGGCTCCTCTGTCCATGGAATTCTCCAGGCAAGAATACTGGAGTGGGTAGCTGTTCCCTTCTCCAGGGGATCTTCCCAAGCCAGGGATGGAACCCAGGTCTCCTGCATTGCAGGCGGATTCTTTACTGTCTGAGCCACAGGGGAAGCCCTTCTTATCTTATTTAATAATAAGATAAACCTCATAAAAAACCAGAGAGGTAGGAATTGTTATTTCAAGAAAATGATTCTTGGAGAGGTAACTTTGCCCAAGGTAACATAGTTGATGATAGGGCCAGATTTCAGCCTTGATCTGTGTCACTCTGTGTACTCAGCTATATTGAAATTTATTGAGTCCTTACTCTGTGTCCGGAACTTACCGAAGGATCCCATACCCATGACCTCTTTACCCTTTGAGGGGGGTACCATCTTACAGATGGAGAAACTGAAGCTCAGGGCGGGTTACTCTCCCAAGGCTGGACAGTAACTAGCTGAATTTGAACTCTGGTCTTCCTGATTTTAATAGCACCTATGCCAAATCTAATAGCATACATGTAACTAATCATACTTTAGTGGAAGGCAAGAAACTAATATTCATTGAATGTCTCTTTCATTCCAATGCATGTATTACTTTTTCCTAAAATGGCCCTCTGAGGTAGAAATTATCTCTCTTCCCAGGTGGTGCTAGTGGTAAGGAACCCGCCTGCCAATGAAGGAGATGTAAGACACACCAGTACAATCCCTGGGTCTGGAAGAACCCCTGGAAAAGGGCATGGCAACTCACTCCAGTATCCTTGCCTGGAGAATCCCAGGGACAGAGGAGCCTGGTGGGCTACAGTCCGCAGGGTTGCAAAGAGCTGGACACGACTGCAGTGACTTAACATGCATGCAATGACAGAGAAGGCTCTCTGGATGGGTAGGATTTTGCCCAATGTCATGGAGCAAGTAGTGTGAACTTGATATTTTAACTGGTCTATTTTTTCCCGTTATATAATTTCACGTCCAAAAGCAATAAAAATTCGTGTATAAGAATTACCCTGTGCGTTAATTAGTTTTAATTCCTGGGGGATTAGCAAAGATAAAACACTTATGGATAGTTGTTGTTCAGTTGCTCCGTCATGTCTGACTCTGTGCGACCCCAATTATGGATAGTGGTAGGGGTCAATTCATTTAACCCAGTGAATGATTGATTCTTTGCACAGTGTTTCTAAGCTTCTAGTTCTTGTGGCATTTACTTATAATAAGGAAATAATGTTTATGGTGTAAGACATGGAGACAGGTTGTTTCCTGTGTACAGGGCACATCCTAGTGCTGATGACTTGAAAATGCCATATGTAGGCTTTCCATGTGAATAAAGAGTGAAAATGACTTTATGAGAACTCCCTGGCAGTTCCGTGGTTAGAACTCTGAGCTTTCACTGCCAGTTGGGGAACTAGGACCCCACAAGCCTTGCGGCATGGCCAATTTTAAAACAACAACAGAAAATTCTACAGTAGGAGCATCATTATAACTTAGCTGCTGCAAGAAATAGAAAATAAGAGACTATCCTATATGATAAGAAAATCATGGATGAAAATGAAACAGATAATTCAGACAAGGTGATGAGAAAGATAAAAAGTACAAAAATGTCTGATGTGTGTGTGTGTATGTGTGAGTGTGTGTGTGTGTGTGTGTGTGTGTGTGTGAGTATTGTGAGCATCTGTAGGGCACTGGTCAGTAACTTCCCGTAATACATCAACAGGATCACCCCTCTCAAGATGCAGATTCTGCTCTTACAGTGTTCAAGGCTAGAATGCCTAGTTAGGATGGTAGGAATTGTGAATCAACCCAAGATTCTAGGAGCCCGGAAATGTTTAGGAAAGTTGCAAGTTTTTCTAAACCTTACAAGATCCTATTTAAAAAAATTATCCTTTGTGATCCAGAGAAATAAAAGCCTAACCAAATTCAACTGTTTTATTTATTGTCCTTTTCTGTTTTTAAAGGAAAACCTGTACTTAGAGATTTTAATCAAATGTTCTCTTTTTATATGTTGCTTCCTTTTATTGGATTCTAGAACAAGCCGATGCAGTGTGTGTGTGTTTTGGTGGGAGCCTCTGCGATATTGCCACAATAAATATTACAGAGCAAAACCCCACCAGACCATTTCTTTTAGCATGAGTGGTTTGAGGGTGTACTTAGAATTGCTGACTACGAAGTTATGCCTTGCGCATGTTACTGTGAAGTGAACACTGTGAGAATACATTGTCTTAATGGGTCTGGAGTTGACAGTGGGTGAGAGGAGCGGCCGAGGAACCGGAAGTGCGGTCAGCTTGTCCGGGAGGCCATCTGGGGTCTTTCTTGCCTGATTTACCCCGGGGTCACGGCCCCTGCCCCCATATGGTAGGGGTCCTGCTCCGGTCCTTCGCCAGCTGTGCCTTTCCCCGCTGGGCTCACAGCTCCAGAGGCAAGGAGCTCTGCTAGCTCACTCCTTCCAGATCCTGCCCAGGCAACCTGACTGAGGAATTCCCTCTTCCAGGTTCCAACCCCCGCTCCCGGGGTCTCTTCCGGGAGCCCATCCTCCTGGGCAGGCAAGGTCACTCTGCAGGTGGAAATCTTCAGGTCCCTGATGTGGCCAAGGAGAAGCTGTGAGGAGAGGTGCGGCCAAAGCCTTGATTCTGGGTGGGCCGTCT